ACCTCCACAGCCCAGCTCATACCTCCACAGCCCAGCTCATACCTCCACCTTCACGCTGAGGCTTCAGCACGAAGTGGTCGGGGTCAGCGATGGCTGTGGCAGCTATTCTGTCACCCTCTTCACCCTGGCAGGAAAGGATGGAAAGAGGTGGACATCAGGAATAATTTCTCCATGTACAGGGTGGTTTCACACTGGAATGAGCTGGATGGAGTCACCAGCCCTGCAGGTGTTCAAGGAATGATGGGACATGGCACTCAGTGCTAATGATAATGTGGTCTTTGGTCAAGGGTTGGGCTCAATGATTTTGGCTTTTCCAACCTAAATGATTCTGCCAACAGCAAAGCATCAGGGAGCAGCAGGGGCTCCTCAGCAGATCCCTCTGAGCAGAGGCATCAACAAATTCCCCAAGGACCACAACAAAGCCCTCTCTTCTTTTGAACCGAAGAGCACAGGTGTGCTTGTCCATCCCTGCTCCCACTCACCTCGTCCAGGGAGTAGAGTCCTGCAAAGGTGGCTCTTATCCGAGTGACAGCCTCGGGGTGGCCTGGCAGCAGCTTCTCCAGCATGCCTGGCCGGCTGAGCTCCTGCTGCACCTTCTTGGTGCCTGCCAGCTGTGTGGCAATGTCGGGGCACTTCACTGCCCGGGACCTCTCCAGCAGCAGCCGTGCCTCCCAGTTCTGAGGCAGCAAAGGAGCAACCACCCCGTGAGGAAAAAAAAACACACAAAAGGTTTGCTCTGCTCTTTTCTGTGAAGTTACTGACATATGGTTTGTCTCCTCCCTGCCTGCTGGCAGGGACAGGGGGTGGGAGTAGCACTCCAGAGAAAAGCAGACATGAATTTCCCACCACCTCTGGGAGCAGCACAGTCAGATTAATCCACTGTGTGCTCCTTCCCCAGCTTGTCCAGTGCTGCCACCTTGAGACACCAACAAGTTCTGCTCTGTGCTATTATTTATTACCTGCAGCCTGATCGTGCAAAGGGAGCACAGACTTATCTGTAGACCAAGTCTGAAACCTTTAAGCAGGTGCTCATACCTGTGTTAACCCCTATTGTACAGAAGCAATTCAGTGTTGCACTAAAGGATCACTCCCTGGAGAAGAAAGCCACCCATTTTTCTTGCTGCAGGGTCACCCACCTGCTCTCTGGAGTCCCAGCTTCCCAATGCTCTCAGCCACACTGGGCAGGACCGACCCCACCCCAGACAGGGTAGCTGCCCCTGGGATTATTTTGAGCCCCTGGGCAGTGCCCAGCTGGTGGTTTCTGGGGCAGGGAGGTGGGTACTGACCTGCTGGTCGTAGACTGCGACCTCCTGGCCATCCCTGGAATGGAAACCAGAAGTGCTCACAGAGCCAGGCCCAGCCCTGCTTGATCCCAGCACCAAGGGGGGGATCACAGCTCCTGGCTCCTCTCCACTGAAGCACAGCTTGGCCTGTCCCAAGACACAGGGAGCTGACATCCAGCCTCTGCTCTAACCAAGGGCTCAATAATTCTGACACCCAGCTCAGCAGAGAGGTAAGCACCTCATTTTTAACAGCTTTTACCCCATTCTGGCCTGGAGGACTCAGCCTGGAGAAAAGGAGGCTCAGGAGGGACCTTCTGGTTCTGCACAACAGGAGGGGACAGCCAGGAGGGTTGGGCTCTGCTCCCAGGGAACAGGAACAGGAGGAGAGGGAACGGCCTCACCACAGGAGGTTTTAGATTGGAAATTAGGGAACATCTCTTCACTGAAAGGGTGGTCAAGCACTAGGACAGGTGGCTCAGGGCAGTGGAGGGACTTGAGTATGTGAGGCTGTGGCACTTGAGGACATGTTCAGTGGTGCTGGGTTACAGGCTGACCTCAATCTCAGAGATCTTTTCCAGCTCTGTGATTCTTGAAGCTGGAGGGATCAAGGTTCTCCTCCTGTGGCAACTCAAGGTAGGACATCAATTCAACAACCTGAGAGGCATCAACCCACCCTGCCAGGGCTGGGCTGGCAGCACAGCTGTAGTTCAACACACCCAAGCTTTAGCCTCAAAACTGTGCACTTGGTGTGGGAGCTGCTGGAAGGCAGACAGGAGGCATCCCACAGTGACAAGGGAGGATGCTCAAGGGAAACACTTTCCCCTCAACTATCCAGCCATGACAAATACATTCATTAATTAAACACAGCACAGACCCAAACCATGGAAACCATGGAAACCATGGAAAAATCAGCCTCACTACAGAAAAATCACTGTCATGAAACCACATCTTCCCTTAGGTTCACACAGCTCCCAGCACATTACCTGGAAATAGGACAAACGTCACACTTGGGACCAACTGGGAGGCTGTGATCCTCCCGTCCTGGTCTCCACAGGGAGCAGGCAAGACACTGAGTGAGTTCAAACCCAAGAGATCCCCAAAGGACATGGAATGCTTCCTCCTCCAGCACTAACAACCAGCCCAGCTCCCACTGTCAGACTAGCACGTGAACAGTAAACAGGAAATGGCTCTGTGGAAGCCTCTCAAATGGCCTGGGCTGTTCAGAGCAGACCTTTGTGGTAAAGATCCCACAGAGCAATGAAGGTTGAAGCCTGAAGGAGGGAGATTATGATTGCAGCTGTAAGGGACTGATGTGTGTCTGTAAAACCTCAGCACTGTGAGCACAAAACCATCTCAGCTCCAAGAGAAAGCAGCAGCCTGGAGCATGGAAGAGAACTGCTATCTCAGACAGTCACTACTTACACTCAGCTCTGGCTGCAAGCTCTCCCTGGCAGCCCCATGTGCCCGAGGGCAGGCAGGAATGCACACCTGGGCTCATACTCACATGTACAGCCTCCTGCTGGCATCCAGAGAGCCCTGCTCAAACACATCCCGGAAACGCTTCCTCACCACACGGATATTCCTGCAACAGGAGGGCAAGAGTCACCATTTGGGCTGCAAATCATGGGTGGAATCGGTGACTGCAGCAAGGAGGACCTGCAGATTCCTGGATCACAAATAGCCTCAGGCTTCATGCAATGGAGCCAAAGAAATCCTACAACCCAAAAAACTCTCTGTTTAGGAACCCATCCTATGTTTCCCTTGATGTGCCAGCAGTTTGCTCAGCTTTCCATACCAGAAACTGAACCATCTCCTTTCTTTCCCATCCCAGGAAAATTCAAACTTTACCTGTTCCAAAGCTCATTTTCTACACAACGCTGATCAAAAATATTTCTCTGGACTTCTTCCACCAGAAACATCACCACAGCCCTGGAAGAGATACCAAGGACATCATTAAACCCATAAACACTCCACATGCTCCTAGCTGGATCACCAGCTTTCCATCTCTGTGATTCAGGCTCCCTGCACTGCTCCTGTTCATGTTCTCCTCCTCTGTCCTTACCTCGGGGACCCATAGAGCTCCCAGGCTTTGGCAATTCCCAAGGCCAGCCCCTTTGCTGGGTTGTTGGGCAGCAGGTGTGATGCCTCCTCAGACTTTCCCAGCACTTTCAACACCAATCTGTGGAACATAAATGCTGTAAATGCCAAACTGGACGAAGGGAGCAGCTTGGAGAGCACAGGGGCCATGCAGTGCAGCTGCTGCAGTGCCAGAGGTGCTGCTCACCTGTGCACGTCGGCGGTGTGGGAGGTGAGCCCCCCGAAGCTGGCAGCAATGGTGTTTATCTCTATCTGCCTCAGAGCTGCTTGGCCATCCAGCCCACAGTCAAACATGTAATCCGAGCGATTGATGCCCAAAAACACAGTCTGGAACACAGGGAGGGGAGCTGGGGTTTCCTGTTGCCTTTAACTGAAAATCCTTTGATGACCTTGCTTCAAAATCCTCCCGGGACAGATCCAGTCAGAGAATCCCAGAATGGTTTGGGTTAGAAGGGACTTCAAAGACCACCTCATCCCAGCCCCTGCAGTGGGCAGGGACACCTTCCACTAGACCAAGTTGCTCCAAGCCCTGTCCAACCTGGCCTTGAATATTTTCAGGGATAGGACAGCCACAGCTTGTCTGGGCAACCTGTGCCAGGGCCTCACCACCTGCCCAGTAAATTTCCTAATATCTCATCTAAACTTATTCAGTGTCAGTTTAAAGCCATTCCCTCTTGTCCTGTCACCCCCAGTTTGATAAAAACCACTGCAGGTCACACACCTCGGTACTCTGGCCCCTGCCCAGGGCCTACAGCCCCCTCAGAGCTCCAGAGGAGTTGCCAACACTCCTGAGAGTAAAGGAGCTTCTGCAGGGATGGCCTGGCTGGTGCAGGTCCTAACAGGACACATGTCCCTGCACACTCTGAGCTCCCAGAGGACAAACCACATGAAATCCTCCCTCTCCAGGCCAGGCTGTTTCCAGCAGCACCAACCAAAGAGCTCAGCTGTTCAATAGGGCAGGGTCCTGAGCTCACCAGCTGTGACAAGACATTCCAGCACAGGGAGTGACCAGCCAGGGACAGCTCAGAGTCCACAGTGCCAAAGCTTGCTGCCAGAGCCCAGGCACCTTCACCACAATGCCAAGGGGCACAGACCACTGGGATCCCCTGCCAAGGTACCTGAGCCAAGCCTTCCTCCAAAACCTGCATATAGATTCTGAAGAGTCGAGCTGTGAAGTCGTCTACCTTGATGGTGCTAGAAAGAAACACAGACCACATCAGTCCCTGTTGCTGTCACAGAGGAACAAGGAAATCAATTCTTCTGCAGAAAAATCCCTTAGCAGGGGCATTCTCCAGCACAAAGAGCAGGGCTGGGGATCAACCAATTGCTGTAGCACTGTGAAACAGCTCCCCATGAATGCTCAGTGCAAAACCACAACATAAACCCAGTTTGCCAAGCACAGCCACACCACAAAAAGCCCTCCTGTGCACAGGTGACTCACTGGCAGAGCAGAGATGGGACAAGTAAAGGCAAAGAAACGCAGCAGAATTCTGCAGGTTCAGGGAAGAAACCACAGGTCTCTCTGTGCCTGCACACACAGTTCAGAGAAGCTTCACAAGCTTCATCCAATCCCCCTGTCCTGTCAGGCTCCGTATCTCACACACTGTGGCCCTGCTAGAGTAGATCTAGCTTTTCCTCAGGGCCCCAAATCCCTGAGCAGCACCTCCAGGGAGCTGCCCTGGCACAGGGCAGGCATTTGAGCACACACAAGCCCCAAGTGCTGCATTCTTTAGCCACAGGTACAAACATGTCCCCACAAGCTCTGACTGCAGCCAGCTCTGGAACAGGCACAAGCATTGGAACAGCTCCAAGGGGTCAGGCTTTAACAAAACAAAAGGATGCTGGAAAACAGCCTCCTCTGCTCTGTCCCAGTGCCAGAGGCAGCAGCACGTGCACAGGCAGCACAGAAGGGGCAGTGGGAAGGGAAGAGGGATTTATGGAAGCATCAGCCCCACAACTGTGAGTGATAAAGTCAGGTCTGGTCACCCCAGCCCAGGGCAGCAGCCATAGATAAACTCAGCAGAACCCAGGAGCCAGAGCTGGACAGTCCTCCTGTGGATCTCGTGGCTGGGAAAGAGGGGACAGGGGTGACTGATGAAGGGTGTGGAAACAGAACAGACACCTTCTTTCCATCACTGCTGCAGCAGAGCTGGTGGTTACTGGACACACACAGGCAGATGCAGAATAAGACAGAGACTCTTAAATCCAGGACTCAAAGACTCCAGTGATTTACATGTAAGACCCAGGAGCCAAAAAGCTCACAAGTATGCATTCACAAGCCTGAAAAAGTGGCAAAGTTGAAGATCATTGCAGAGAATCAGGTCTTGGCAGGATGTCCCATTTTCTGGGGCCCAAGAAGACTTCAGAAAGGTAGAGATGCCAGAAGGGTGATAAAGCCTTTACATTTAAAATACTTCATTAAAATGCGACACGCAAAAAACGTTACCTGGCCAGAGTTTGCTCCAGGAATTCTTTGTTTCGACTGATGGCATCCACCAGCAGGTTAAAATCCTGCTGGACAGCATAGGCTTGTTCAAACAAGGCCCGTGGCACTGCGGACGGGAGCAGCGTGAAGGGCGCGTAATTCACCACCTGCAAGGAGAGAGGCAGCAGAGCAGTCAGGTCTGGGCAGATGAGGAGGAGCTAAGGAGGTGCTTCCTCGGCATCGAGTTTGGCTGAAGCCACCCCCAGCCCTGCTGGGCCTTGAGCCTGCTGATTCCTGACTGCCTCCCCCCGTCTCCCCCTACACTGGACAGAACTTCTCAGAGGCAGAGAAAAGGTCAATTTGCCAGTCCTGTCTGTCAGTTACTTCGTTTGATCCCCGCTCAGTGACTCCAGAGCCCTGGCTCATCCCACATCTCAGGCACGGGGTCACACTCAAAAGTCCATATATTACACCACAGAGCAGCTTCCAATTCACCTGGATTTTTACATTAAACAAGGGACACTGGCAGTGTGTTTGACTTCTCCTCCCAGGCTCCTCTTCCTCTCACCCTTTGAGATCACTCAGAACTCCTGACATCAAGGAGCAGTGCTGTGGTGAAGACCTCCCTCCTTGTACCCCTGCCAGCTGCCTGCTTGCCCCCAGGCTCCTCAGGGACCCTTCCCCGATGGTGACCCACCCCTCCTGAACAGGGCTACCTCTTCCTCTGAGACCCCTCATGGCATCCTGAGCCCTCCCACCCCAGCCATCCGCCAGGGATTGCACAGAGGCAAATCCCACATATCAGTCACCTCGACCCCTGCCACCTCACCCCAAGTATGGGACAAAGGCTGACTGTAGCTGGGAATATGCCAAAAGCAGAGGCCCCTCCGTGATACTCACCTCCGGTTCAAAGGTTCATATGGTGGTGAGAGGCTGGGAAAGGAATTAACTCCCAGCACCACAACAGGCAATTTCCTAAGCCTTCCCAGACCTACCCCTCTGCTTGGAAAAGGGGATCTGTATGGCAGGACTGTTCCTTGAGGAGCTGTAAGCTGCAGCCCCAGCGAAAGGAGAGCTGTTCCTAGGGGAGCCGCTCTTTGCCCAAGGCTCAGGGACCCCCGGTAGGACAGCGGCTCCTGTGTACTCACATCCGAGGAGTGGGGCTGCTCCCCGGTCCGCATCAGCACCCCCGCCAGCAGCGCCGCGTCCACCGCCACCGCCGCCGCCTCCCGCACGGCCGCCGCGTCCCGCAGCACGTCCTGCCAGCCCGCGGCCATGGCAGCGCTGCGGGCACAGCACACGCGGGCTCACCGCCGATCCCACCCGGACCCCCGGGCCCTGGCTGTCCCCAGCCCCTGTGCCCTGACCCCCGGGCTCTGCTGTCCCCAGCTCCTGTGCCCTGATCCCGGCTGTCCCTGGCCCCTGTCCCCTCGCCGGCCCCCGGTCCCCAGACCGGCAGTGCGCCCGAACCCCCGACCCTGGTCCCTTCCTGGTTCCCGCTCCCTGAGCCCCAGCCCTTGGCACATCGCTGTCCCCAAGCCCTCTATCCCTCTCCGGCCCCCAGGCCCTCTCCGATCCCCGGTTTCAGACTCCTCGCCCTCTCCAACGCTGCCTGTCCCTCCGCAGTCACCGGACCGCCACTGACACCAGCCCCTCCAGGCGCCCCCGTTCCCTCCCGGCCCCGGCCCTTCACTGACCCCCGTTCCCTCCCGACCCCAGCCCCGCATTAACCCCCGTTCTCTCCCAGCCCCGGCTCCTCACTGACCCCCGTTCCCTCCCGGCCCCTCACTGACCCCCGTTCCCTCCCGACCCCAGCCCCGCACTAACCCCCGGTCCGTCCCAGTCCGGTTCCGCCGCCGACCCTGCTCCGTGCGGGCGCTGCGGACCGCCCCGTGATTGGACAGGACCCACCCCTCTCCCCGCCCCTAGGGCTGAGTGGCAGCTCAATGAACCAATCAGCGTGCCGGACACGCCCCCTGCGCGATGCCGAGCACCGGGGGCGGGAGGAGGAGGAGCCGCGTCGGGAGCGCGCGGTGCGCACGCGCTGGGCTGTGTCCCCGCTGTGTGACGTCATGTCGCGACATCAAGAGGGCGACGAAGGCGCTGGGCCCGCTAGCCCGCGTGAAATCCGAGCGCTGCGTGCAGGGGCCGGAGCTGCTGGGAGCCCAGAGCGATGAGAATGATTGGCGATGTTCCTAGAGGCCCTTTCCAGCACCAGCGATCCTGAAATTCCGTGAAAAACCCTCCACGGTACCGGAGCTGCGTTACCTGCTGCTCTCATGGAGCTGAAATTCACCCTTGGGCAGGCAGGGGAAGACAGAGGAAACGCAGACCTGCCTTAGGAAATGAAAGGAATTTGAAATAGCTTTATGTTTTCCGTTTCTTCCCCTCTTCCTCAGGTTCCTCAGGGGACAGGCTGGCTTTCTGCCCTCCTGCCACACAGAGCCAAGGCTGTGGCTCTTTGGGCTCCTCACTTGGGGACACCTGGGAAAAGCAGATCTCAAGAACCCTTTCATGTATAGGACGTTCATTTCCTAGCCATAGGGCTTGAAATGACAATGTGGGAAATCAAGAGGGTTAATTTGTATTAGGAACAAGCAAAATTTAAATGTAAGTAAATCAAACCCAAGCCAGTCCTTTCTACTTTTTTGTTTCAATATACAAAGGAACAGTTAGGACTGACTGTCCTCTGAATAAGTGTAATGAAATGGAACAACTCTGTGTTGGTACCTCCAACAGGTAGGTTGTTATTTCATTGGGCCTTATGTAAATACATTTTGAGGGTTGTTATTTCTTAGACCCTTCTGTAAATATGTTCTATAGATTGTTGTTGTAATAATGATTCTTATAATGTAAATAAATTTATAGTTTTTATTGCTCTTCTGTAAATAAATAGTCCTTGTTTGTCTCTTTGCATTTCCTTTGGGCACAGTTGTGGTTTCCACTTGCTCTGGGTTCCTCGGGCTGGAGGTCCCTGGGGGTGCTGACATAGCCACCCCAGGGCTGGGGGTCCCTGTGCACAGGGGGTCCCACTGACGCCACTCCCAGCCCTGGGCACTGCTCATGTTCCTGGGCTGCTGCAGAGCGGTGTCCCCAGGAGCAAAGCTGTCCCCAGCAGAGAGGGGGCTCTGACAGCAGCAATGCCACCAAAGCAGGCAGGAAAACTTCTGCCACCCTGCTGGAGCCACAGGGACTCCTGGCATCAGGCCACAGAGATGCAAAATCCACGTTTATTCTCTGAAGGCCATGACAGCCTTGGGAATTGCTGGAGCCAGGATCTGGGGAGCAGCTTTTGCAGCTGCAGGAGCTGATGTTCAAGGCTTGGAGCATCCAAAACCTCTGGCCTTCGCTTCCCCCGCTGCTTTGCATTGCCCTGTGTCCGGATTGTTCAGGAGACAAAAGCGAAGCGCGGGGATGCTCGCCCTGCCCGCCTTCCTGCTGCTGGCAGCGGCCACTGGCCCCTGTGTCCCCTGGGTGACGCCTGGAGGGGGCAGCGCAGGCTGTGCTGGGCAGGCCCGGGGGGCTCTGAGCCCCGTGGGTGCCGGTGCCTGCCGGTGGCCGCAGGGTCGGTGTGGGGAGCGCTGGGCGCTGGCAGAATCCCGGCGGGATGCGATGCCGGCAGGGGCAGGGCTGCGGGATCGCGGCGGCGGGGCCCGGGGCTCCCACAGGAGCCGAGGCCACTCCGCAACAAGCCCGTGGCCAACAGGTGCCCGAACTCAGCCTCCCCTTCCCAGGCAGCTTCCCCCAGAGCCCCGCGCTCCCCGAGCATCCCTGGGGCAGGCACGGAGCTCCCCGGCAGCCCCTGCCCGGAGCAGCCTGGGGGTAGCGGGGGCTCGGCTCGGCTCGGCCGGCGCTGGAGGCTCCAGGGGCTGCGGCAGCTCCATCCCTGTCCCCCCGCGGCTCTGCCCCGCTCCTCTGCCGAGCAGCCACTCACAGCGTTCGCTCCTGGGCCACTAGAGCCCAGGGATGGGGACCCGGGATGGACACCCAGGGATGGGGACCCAGGGATGGGCACCCAGGGATGGGCACCCAGGGATGGGGACCCGGGATGGGCACCCAGGGATGGGCACCCAGGGATGGGCACCATTCCTGGAGAGTTCATCACTGTTGGACAGGCTGGGACGTGACTGGCTCTTTATCCTACTGCCTGTGCCAGGAGTTGTCCAGGTCATGTCGAGCGTTTTAGCTCTGTTCTTATGAAGAAATGAAGCTCTGTAGTTACAGCTCTCCTGTGAGGTTGGAGAGGGACATGGGCATGGAAGTGACAGGGACATGGAATGAAATTAACTTTATGGAATGAACATGGAATGAAATTAACTTTAAGGTCTCCCCCAATCCAAAGCATTCTATAAACACCCACCCTGTTTGTTTCCTGGGCACAGGAGTCCTGCTCTTTCTCTTTCCTCTCTGCTGCCCCATCTGTCAGTAACTGTGATTTACACCTTAATTAATTCAGATCCAGGCCGTGAATTTGGCAACTGGTAATCCAATTTTATTTCTGCCCTGGACCAGGATCCAGCTCAGACCCCACCAGAAGTTAGGAACACATTTTAGTAAGGGTGTAGAAGGACAAAGTTTTCTTAAATAGAAGCATTTCCCTTCTCAATCCCCAGTCCTGTTCAGGGTTCTGCATCTCCCCTACCTGATGTTTGCTCTGAGAAAGGGCATAAAAAGCTTCGATTTCCAAATAAAACATTGCAAAAATAGTCCAATTTCATTGCAAAAAGCTGGGGGAAAAGCTCTGCTCTTTCCTTGGAAGTTCCTGGAATGAATGTACCCTGCTCAGAATAGGAGAAGTATTTTATAGAGCTGTGACTTGCCTTTTCTGGTTGTTTTCTCAATTCACTCTGGAGAATGAGATTTTTTTCAGAGTAATCCAGTAGCCCGAGGAGGATTTGGACATGCAGATTGCTCATAATCTCTGCTACAGGGTCAGAGAGCTGCAATGCAGCTCAGAGGAGGTTGAATCATAAAAAAATATGGTAGACATGGTAAGTATTTGGCATGTTCCATACAACAAAAGATGAACAACAGCAACTGGGCCATTATCTTTATTTGCTAAAAATAGAGCCCCGCAAAGTTTAAAGAAAAGCATTTTATATCTGTAAACCTTCAAGATGGGCTTTGTGCTGTCGCATCCCCTTTCAAAGGCTGCCCTGCGCTCAGACAATTGAAACTCGAGACAACATCAGGCACAGCGGGGTGGGGGAATGAATATCTGTGCCATGACCGTGCTGTCCTCCCTCAGCCGAGCCTGGCACGGCAGTGGGAGCTCTGCAGCTGGTCCATCCCCCTGGCACCCGCATCCTGCGCCCGGGATGCCCACGGCACATCCCAGGTGGCCCAGCCACCTGGGCAGGGCACCCAGGGCATGGCCAGAGGAGGCAGCAGCTCTCTTGCCCACACCGGTGCCGAGCTCTGCACGGGCATTTGATACCCTGCAGCTGCCGCTGGGTGCAGGGCTGGGCGCTGCCTGCTCCTCCACGCCTGCGAGGAGCTGCTCATCACTCGCACACTCGCTTCTCTGGTACCCTATAACGAGGAAAAAAAAAAAAAATCCAAAGCCCCTTTGGGTTCTCCTTTGTATTTCCAGCTGCAGAGAAATCAACTTAGCCCAGTCTGACGTTTTAGGCAGCTCTGTTTTACCTCGGGATATTTGGGCACCAATGCAGAAACCAGTGAATTTGTGGTAGAGCAGCCGTAAAGCCACGGCAGCAGGAGATGATGTGATGCCCACCACCAGACCCATAAAGACAGGTTTTTCAAGAACCTTTCAATGTAGTTACAGATTCCGCTTTTGTTGCTAATATTGTTAAAATAATAGACGGATCAGTTTTAAAAGATGTTAGTAATGGTATTCTGTATCGTTATCTTACATGTCTTATACAACAGAGAACTAACAAATTATTTCGTTTCCCATATTAGGGCACATTTCTCGCTTCCAGGATTCTTAGCAGAAGGAAATGCAAGAGCAGATAAGTTGACAATCACTGTTACAAGTACTTTGCCTAACGATAATAGGGCTATTTTCTCATTGGGATATAATAATAAAAATAAATAAGGCTATTTTCATGGAAGAGAGTTCAGAGGTCTCCTCGGCTAGCCAAACCTCTTGCTGGCTCGTCATCCACAAGAAAAAGCAAGACAGCTCTGGAACCCTGGCTTTCCTGCGGTATAAGCACCAGCTTCAGCCAGGGCGTGACAGAAATCTATTGTCTCTAAGACTGTATTTCGATGCAAAATGCTCTGGTAAAGCCAGCATTTCTCCTCTCCCCCAC